TGGCCAGACAGCTGTCCTTTTGGATGTGGTCCATGTGTACACAAGTTGTTTCTCATTTCAACTCTGAGTTGAGCCAGGTTTATTCTTATAGTGATAAGAGGGTTCCAAGAAGACAAAAAGGTTGTAAGTTTTAAGGTCCTTGGCTGCATTATATCTGCCAGTGTCAATTTCAGTGGTACGCCAGATTCAAGGGGGCAGGGGGTAGAAACAGTGTAGCTTCCCCTGGTAGAGGATGATGCTGTGGAGCAGAATAAGAATACAGGTTGGTTCAGAAGACCACCTCGAGAGTCTTCAAATGATGGTTCAAAATAACTTTTATGTTGAGAGAGATAAAGCAGGCACATCAGAGGAGGAGTTTAAATTATCTGTAACTTTACTTTCTGGGAGGAAAAGATGCCCTAAGTGGTGACATATAAGTGGTGACTGCCATTCACTACCTCACCCTTCTTACTCAAAAGCAAACTGTTCAACTTATTAAAGACAAGATTTGGGGATAGTGAGATGGCCCAGCTCTTCCAGTGGACCCAGGTTCAGTTCTCAGCACCCACATGGTATCTCACAGCTTTCTGTACTTGCAGTTCCAGGGAATTCGATGCCCTCTTCTGTGGTGCCTGAGGGCACCACACATGCATGTGGTGCACACACATACGTGCAGGCAAAACACTCTTACATATAAAATAAACATAAATAAAGCCCTTTTTTTTTTAAAAAAAAAGTGAGTTCAATAAAATTTTATATTTAATGATAACTTATAAATTATATATATCATTCTAATGTTATATATCATAATCCAAATTAATCATTCCAGAGGAAAAATATCTTTCACATTTTGAGCGACTTATGCAGGTAAATGTGATAATGAAAATATTTTTAAAAGCTATAAATAGTAACATTCAATGAATATGAGGATATTATAATTAATACAACTTTAAGAAGTATTTTAAAAGAGAGAAGGAGGGAGAGAACATGTAGTTGGGAGGGTAGGGATATAGCTGAGGATCTGGAAGGCATTTCAGAGGGATAGAAACATGAACAAAATACATGATATAAAGTAATAAAAACATTATTTAAAAAACAGCTTACTTAGGTAATTACAGCTTTAGTGCCTGTACATGATGAGTCCTTCTATTACCTGTGATTAAAAGTGGGATATGTAAAAAAGTTTAGAAAGGAAGTGGTCATTTTATTTTTTAACAATATTTTACTTAGTTGATATTTTAATGCTTTTTCATGTATACAATATATCTTGATCATTTCCACCCCTTACTCTTCCCTCCCACCCCTCTGGAAGCTGCTCAACATGCCCCTCCTGCCTTTGTGTCTTCTTTTTTTCTGACTTAGTGAGTCCAGTAAGTGATGCTCAAATGTGCATGGGTGTGAGGCATCCTCGATCACATGGGCAACCTACCAGTGGCCACACACTTGAAGAAGACTCCCCCTCCCCTAGCAGCTGCCAACTGCCAAGAACTCCTTACTAGGGGTGGGAATTCATGAGCTCTTGTCTAGTCCATGCTGGGGTGTGGATTGGCTTGATCTTGTGCATGTCTTGTGTGGGTATCCATGTGAGTGCCGAGTCCTGTCCAGGAGACAGCCTTTTGCAGCACTCTGGGACATTCTCCAGCTCTTACGTTCTTTCAGTCCTCTCTGATGTTATCTTCTGTGGGTGTTGGATATAGGAAGATTGACAACAAAGCTAAACACTCAATAGTCATTATTCTCAGCCCTTTGACCATTTCTGAGTCTCTGCATTGACTACTGCTCACTGCAAAGATAAAAGAGAAGCTTCTCTGACCAGGTTGAAAGCAGCACTAATGTATAGATTTAAACATAAATATTTAGAAGACAATTTGAGAACATGTACCCTTCACAAAACAACAATAGTAAGTCATTCTCCACCACGGTATGACCTTCCCAGCCATGGGATTTTGACCAAGTAGGTTTACAGTACAAGGCATTAATTCTTTGCTGTGCAACAGGCCTAAAATCTAATCAGAAAGCAGTTGGTCACCCCCATAACAGGCATACCACTATTTTATGAAGGGATACATCTTGTCTGGCAGATCAGTATTATATCAGGCAGAGTCTGCCACTGAGTAAGTACATTGATTTTTTTTTTCCTCCAGTGGCCTGCAAAACACATTCCAACACTGTGAGAGCTAGCCAGCATAAAGGAAGTTTCCTAGTCAGTTCCAGCTTGATCTGTGTGTTTTGGAACCAAACTGTGCTATGTTCAGCCATAGGGTCATATCATCTAGTTACAATAGGCAGCCAAGAACAATAACAATCACAACCACAACCACAACAACAGCAGCAACAACAACAGTAATAATAATGGTCTATGTTGTCTGAGATGTCTCTGGGGTCTCCCAATCAGTAACTTGTAGGGAGGTATCCCACACTAAGCACCCCGATTCATTTAATAACATATTTCTTCTGGAGGAAGCATTATCCACCCATGCAGAGGACCGCTGTTCAAACTCCTTCTGTTTTCGTTGTTAAATCATGTTTTTAATTAGCTCCCCAAATAGTGGATTTCCATAAAGTTTGTTAAACATTATTAGTTTTGATTAACCCACATCTGGTCTGCTCTTTCCCGCCATCTCTCTGCTTCCACCCCTGCTTAAACCTTATATTCTCAATATTCTTCCCCTACCTTGTCATCACACGTGTGCAACTCTCCCCAACTCCCAGGGTCTCTTCACTTTCTGTAGCTTACAGACCTCTACAAACACCCCAGATTAAACACAGATCTACAAAATTAAAGATCAGATTCACTTACGAGAGAGAACATGTGGAGTTTGTCTTTCTGGGCCTAGATGACCTCACTTAATATAGTATTTTCCAGTTCTGTACTTTTCCTGCATAATTCAATTTTTATTTGTAGCTGAATACAATCCCATTATCTCTATCTATCACATTTTACTCATCTATTCATCAGTCAATGGACATCTAGGGTGATTCTATTTCCTAGATGTTGCGGACAGAGTACCAATGAACATGGATGAGTATCTCTGTCACATGATATATAATCCTTTGGATTTAAGTCCAAGAGTGGTATAGATGAGTCGTGCAGTAGTCCTATTTGTAGCTTTTTGAGAAACCTTCACACTAATATTCTCACTTGATGCACCAACTTGTACTCACACAAATAGTGCATAAGGGTCCTCTTTCCCCAAATCCTCACCAGCATTTGTTATCAATTGTTTTCTTGATGATAGTAATTCTAACTTGGTGAGACAGAATCTTAAAGTAGTTTAAATATGCTTGATGGTGTTCATCATGTTTTGAAAGTATTTATTAGCCATTGGTATTTCTTCTTTGGAGAATGCCTTTCTTTTATCAGTTCATGGCCTGGAACTTTCTATGCACACCAGGTTGTCCTCGAACTCACAAAAATCTTACTGCATATGTCTTTTGAATACCTTGATCGCCTTAACCAGTGTTTTAGATTTTTCATTTCAGAGGTCTGTCTTAGTTACTTTTCAATCACTGTGACAAGTCACTAAGACCAAAGCAGCTTTTAAAAGAGAGCCTTTCCTTGAGATGATTGTCTCAGAGGGTCAGAGTCCATGAAGGCAGAACAAAGGCATGGGAGCAGGAACAGCTCAGAGCTCACAACGTGGTCCACAAACAGGAAGCAGAGAGCACAATGGAAATGGCAGGAGTCTTTTGAAACCTCAAAGCCTGCCCCCAGTGACACGCCTCCCCTAACAAGGGCACATCTGCTAATCCTTCCCAAATAGTTACAGCAACTGAGGACCAAGCATTCAAACATACAAACCTATGGGGGCCATTCTCATTTAAGCCACTGTAAGGTCATTCATAGCCTTGCTTACTATTTTATTTTAATTATCATTACCTATGTTAAACAAAACACTATTTCCCGTTTATTATAAATAATACGGAAAGGTTTAGATGTAAATTAGAATGTAAGGAAGCTTATATTAAGTTTAAATTTTCTATGCATTTTCTATTTTATATAGTATATCATGTTTTATACATGTTATAGCACATAGGTATATATGTTATATATTCATGTACTTATATTATATATGTATATGTACTTATGTATGACTATTAAATGTACAAGGAATAAATAAAACTGTTATCTGGTGGCTTGGCTGGTTCTAATAGGACAATTACCACCCATGAAATCCTCTCTGTATTCTTTAGGAACCTTCCATATTGTAGCAGTCTGATATCACTCTCAGGAACAAAAGTGATTATTATGTCATTTTTTCCTGAATACACCAGTGATTACTTTTCATTATATAATGAGTTGTAAAAAAAAAAATGTTGTTTTTTGTTTCCAGTCACTGGAACACTAACAGATTCCTAAGTTCTACAGCCCTGTTTGTACAGTGCAGCCCTCCCTTGATATGAATGGACGTCCCAGGTCGAGATGCATCACAACTGTAAAACACACTGACTTTTAAATATGTACTACCCAAAATATAAATGTGTGAAAGATCACTAATGTATTGGGTTTATTGAATTTTTCAGTTAACAAAATACAGCATTTCATTTTGCCTTTTTAACGGGGCAAGGAGGTATCCTCTATTGAGTTTGTGACTTGCACTCTATTTCTGCTGAGAAGTACAGGTCTGTCCCGAAAAGCAGGAGACCTGGGGAGAAGTAGGAGTCTTCTCTCCCTCTAGACAAGGAGTGTCTTTTCAGCTATGATTCCATCATCAAGACCTTTCTGCCTCTGTGGCTTAATAAAGCCATGTCTTCTCTTTAAGACATTCCTTGAAGGAGTCCACAGTACCATAGTCACCTATAACTGTCACCAGAAGTCACAGCGGAAAATGATAAAGAAATGGAGAGGAGTAATTCCTTCTCCTGGCAGGTGCTTACTGTGTATATTTATCAGAGGGAAGTTATCGGAGATGTCTGGGCGAAAAGGCCAGGAAAGTATCAAGGAGGCAGTGCTCTGGAGGTCTTTATTGAGAAATGACTCATCTACCCCTTCTCTTTGCTTTTTTTTTTTTTTTTTTCAGAACGCTGTGATGACTGGGGACTAGATACCATGCGACAAATCCAAGTGTTTGAAGATGAGCCAGCTCGCATCAAGTGTCCCCTCTTTGAACACTTCTTGAAGTACAACTACAGCACGGCCCATTCCTCTGGCCTTACCCTGATCTGGTACTGGACTCGGCAAGACCGGGACCTGGAGGAACCCATTAACTTCCGCCTCCCAGAGAATCGCATCAGTAAGGAGAAAGACGTGCTCTGGTTCCGGCCCACCCTCCTCAATGACACAGGCAATTACACCTGCATGTTGAGGTAGGCTGCTTCCCAGCATGACTTTCCCTTGTCCTTGTAGTCCCTGGGGTTTTATTTAAATCATGAATATGCCATGACAACCAGGCAGGGGAAGGACACATTTAGATGGGTTATGCCTTACCCCAGTGGCCCAGCTGATATGGGAGGAAGGAGGTGTGCAGAGAGTATGTCTTTGAGAATATTCTTCACGGGTGGTTCCTTTTAAGAAGACAGCAATGTTGTCTGAATCTGGGGTTGAGTTTATTGGCTTCTTTCCATGGCCCTGGATCCTGCCTACATGCTTGCCTTGCCTGGAGGCGTCGTTTTCCTGGAAAATGAACAATGAAGAGCCAACTCATATCTGTTATGCTTGGCTTTTTCTTGAAGTACCTGGCAGAGATACCACACTCAGAGTATGTTTGTAGAAGAAAGACTATTTGGGATGCATCGAATATATTTAGCACAGTGCTTTTAAATTTTCAACCAAAATTCTCCTCAGAAGCAAGTGAATACCATGCCCCCTGGGAATCCAAAAATACGATCTAAAGCAACCAACCAAATTTTATCAAATCTGTCTTTGTTCTTGAAGCATCTATGTGTCTTTTATTGTTAATGTTACAAAATGCCCATTTTCTTTTCTGCACATCAATGTGAATGTCTGCTCCAAAAATTTTTTAGAATACCTAAATCCCTTTGAAAAAAAATCACCACAATTGGTCTTAGCAGTCATAGTACCATTTTGCTATCAATCTGCAATGTGTTTTCTATTGTCATACATAGGACATATTTGTTTCTTCATTTAACACAATTTTCTATCATTTAATAGGTATGTTGGTATCAGTTTTGGAGGCTACAAGTCTGAGATCATGGTTGGCATGGTGGATTTCATTGGCTTACATATGTTGATCTTCTTCTAAACTCTTCTTCTTCCTGTATCTGTGTCCTAACCTTTACTTATAATGAAGTGCTTGCACTGGATGGCAGTCCATGTATAACTTCATTTGCCTTCCTTATGTCTTGAGAGGCCCAATTCCATATGTAATCCAGTCCTGGGGTTCGGTGAGCTAAGTACTTAACATTTGAATTAATGGGAACTATCAACACAGTTGATCCTCTAATAATGTGTAAGCCCATTTCCTTTCTTTCTTGTGGATATTAGCTCTTCCTTACCGAGAGATAGAACAAAGTTTTGACAAATGTATGCTATGTTATTAGTTGAAATGTTCTCTGCTCCACTCCCCCCGCAAAAATAAATCTTTAAATCCCTGGATCTTTGGAGAAAACTTGTAGCCTGTAATGTCCCTTGGACATTGTCATCTGATAATAATTTTATTGGAATAAAGTTTAGATGCACACATGGACTTCCAGTAAACAAGGAATGCTCATGTTCTTATTATCTATGTCCAAAAATGCTCTAAGTGGTGGCATCAAGCAGCTTGTATCAGAAAGAGCACTGGGTGAGGTGAGAGACAGAGAAACAAGACCTTTGTTGCTGCCTAGCTGGTGAACTAAGGCAAGTTTTGTACAAAACTGGAGCTTTGGCATCTGTACCGATGCCGTGGGAGGGCAGAGCACATCTTCTTGGAGTTCCTTTTCAACTTTGACAACTGTTAATCCTTTACCATTTCCCCGGAGAACATCAGCAAATCCCTGCGAAGGAGCCTTTAACCGCTTCTGCTTGGCTTTTACCTTTGCTCTGCACCTGGCGTTGCTGATGTTGCTGCTGTGCACCCAGTGGTGCAGAACCTGTATTACTCACCCACTAACTGTCTTCAAAGCTCTGGCTAGGGTGGCCCATTAAGCCCTGCTTATAGCATTCAATAGCTTTCCTAGACCAGAGCCCCAGAGAAGTCCACATTCTTCCACAGAGCAGCATGGTCACATGTGTCGTAGCTGTAGTCACTCCTTCCTGCTAACTTCTGTCTGAGTTTCTTTCCTATTGCTGTTGTGAGGCACACGGCCAAGGTAACTTATAAAAGGAAGCATTTCATTTGGGGCTCATGGTTCCCGGGAGTTAGAGTGCATGGCCTTCAAGGTGGAGAGCATGAGAGCAGGCAGGCGTGGTGGTGAATTGGTAGCTGAGAACTCTTAGCTTGAGATGATAACCATGAGGCAAAGAAAGCTAACTGGGAATGGCATAGGTCTTTGAAGCCTCAAAGTTCATCCTCAGTGACTAATCTCCTCCAATAACGTCATATTTCTTCTTTTTTTCTTTTTTGTTTTTTCTTTTCTTTTCTTTTTTTTTAAAGACAGGGTTTCTCTGTGTAGCTTTACACCTTTCCTGGAACTCACTCTGTAGCCCAGGCTGGCCTTGAACTGACAGAGATCCCCCTGCCTCTGCCTTCTGAGTGCAGGGATTAAAGGCATGTGCCACCACCACCCAGCAGGTCACACTTCTTAATCCTACCAAAGAGTTCCACCAAGAGGGGACCAAGTTCTTAAACATATGAGGCTATGGAGGACATTCTCATTCAAATTGCTAAATAGGTTTGGGTATGTTTATGGCTATGGAGTTAGATTCATTTTATTTTATTTTATTGCTCATATTCCCATATTCAAATGGTAATGTTGAACTGACATGTTACTAGGATTACAGATAATGGGTATAGTATATTCAGATAGTTTTAATTGTTATATATATAATTAAGGAACATCCAAGGTGCTCACTGTAAAAGGGACCTAGTGGAGAAGTTCAGGGTAGGGGATAGTGGAGAAGATTTTGACAGAGATGTGGCTCAGGCTGGATAAACATCACTGCACACTTTTCCACTCAATGTAAGATGTTTCCTGGGCCTGGTTTTGCCCTCATCATTGCTTGTATGTACGTACTACTATGTCATAGTTTTTTTTTTTAATCACCTGTTTTGTTTGCTTTTTCTATGAATTCCCTTATTTTCCTGGCTGAGGTGACACTGGATGGATGTTTTGGGTTATATACTGGCTCTATTTCTCCCTTTTAAAATTTTGATCTTGTTAAAAAAAAAAAAAAAAACGTTCCCAAACTTACTCATCGGAAGCTAAAATCCTGGAAACTTTTCTGTTTCAAAGTTTGGTTGCACCCTTAAACATGCCATCCTTACCTTTGCCTTCATAAAAATACTACTGCTGAGAGTATTTTAAATGAACACTTTAAATACACATTTAAGGTCATGGATAGAGTATAAATATTTTAGTACATTAATAGCAGATACTTCTGTTTGCTTTCTAGTGTGTGGTGCTAATTGGTATAGGAAATATCTCAGAAAGTCACTTAATATTCACATGAATTCACACCTATAAAGAAGTCCCAGCTCTATTTTATCAATCAAAAGCAGATGAGCCCCCATGCTCAGTGTGTGTTTGTCTTCTCAGGAATACTACGTATTGCAGCAAAGTTGCATTTCCCCTGGAAGTTGTCCAGCAGGGCAGATGCTTCAGTTCCCCCATGAGACTCACGGTGCATAAAGTGTATATCGAACACAGTACACATAACATCACGTGCCCAAATGTAGATGGATACTTTCCTCCCAGTGTCAAACCAACCGTCACTTGGTATAAGGTAAGGAAACTAGAACACATTATTATTTTTTTTTCAGTCGTAATAAATAAACATCTGAGTTAAATGGTAACACTGATATTTTTCTTCTCCCATCTTTGATTTCTTCATTAATACCTTTGTACCAACTTTGGCCGCTTCCTTGTTTTGTTCTGTTTGAGATGGAGGGCTGTGGGTTTCTCTGCCCCGGCCTGCTGTATCTCACCTGATGCTCTCTAGACTCCCAGAACTAACTGCCTAATTTCTGCTAACTCCCTGCGAGGAGCCTGTTTGGAGAAACGCTGCCCACTTCCACTCACTGCCTCGTGAAGTTGGAAGCTGCTGATTCACGACATGAATCTCAGCCCCTTGATGAGTCAGTACCGTAATTTATGATTCGCGTGTGCGTGGTTGATTGCTCTGGTTTGTGGGCTCCACATCTGAGGATGGAAAAATGTTTTATCAAAAAAGGAATGTGAATATTGGAAGGTGGCAGCGCTGCCATGCGGCCTGGAATCTCGTGGGCTCTCCACCAGCACCAAAGTGGAAAACTCAAGCACAGTGTACGGCACAACTCCATGTGAACTGTTTTCAGCAAACTAAGTGAGACAAACAATGGCCTTTAGGCAGTTTGCAGGAGTCAGTGTTTGCAGCCTCCTGCAAACAACGCAAAAGGAAGCAATGCATTGTGTGTCACACGTGAGAAGTGGGACAGACTGTGAGCGGAATGTGGGCTAGGCCAGCATAGAATCAACAGCAAGGTGGGAGAAATTTCATTCCCTGAGACAAGTCACAAAAGTCCTCTAGAAAGAAGTTCTGATGGGGCTGGAGTAGTTCTGTTATGTACCTCAGAAATGCTCGCCAGAGCAAAGAGAAGCTGCAGGACTAGAAAGACATTGGCCTGCAATGCCTGATGCCTTGCAGTTTAATGCCCTGATACAGCCAAAGAAAGAGGCCAGTTAGATTAGAGCAGTATAAGGAAAGAAAGAAGATGGACTTGCTGGACATGGAGGGAGGGAGGGGTTGGAGCATCTCAGGACTGAGGCTGGACATGGAGGGAGGGAAGGGTTTGAGCATCGCAGGACTGGGGCATTTTGAAGAATCCCTGTTAATGTGAACATGCAATCATGTTCTAAAGTCCAGAAAAGGTTATTTTTACATAAAAATAAGCAATAAAAAATTCAAATCCCATTTAATTTCAAGGAAAGGGTACATAAAACAATAATACTTCTGCAGCAAAGAAAGTATGTCAGAAGGCTATATCATTAATGACTCTTTAAAAACAGGCCTACATCAGGAAAATGATAAGATATATAAAAAGGATGCAGAATAGAATTGAAATGTCCAAAACTTACATAAATTATTGAATGTTTAAAGTAAAGAAAATTATTTTACAATTAAAGCCAAAGTAAGAGGGAAAAATAGCAGCAAACATAAGCACGCACGTGCACACACACACATATACACAAACATGCACACATGTATACAGAAATATATACATGCACACCCACATATATACACACACATACATATGTGCACACACACATGGACAAGCACACACACCCATAACATACATGCACATGCCAAAGCAATTGTACACATATGCACACATAGAAGAATACACAATCATATATATACATACATGCAAACATGCACACACATATATATGTACACATGTGCACACACAAGCACACACACACCACATGTACATAAACAAGCACACATACACACCCACATATATACACACACAGACATATGTGCACATACACACATGCACAAGCACATGCCCCTCCAACACACACACATGCACATAGCAAAGCACATGTACATATATACACACATAGAGGATTACACAGTCATATATACATACATATACACACATGCACACCCACACAGACACACATGTATACCCATACCCAAGCTCACACAATGTACAGTAGCTGAAGACTGGTAGGAAGTAAAAGGAGGAAATTTAAAAATAAAAAGACAACCATTACAGGAAGGCTAGAGTGGCCACACAAACATAAAAGAAAGGAGATGTTATGATGGTGAGTATTGCCAGAGAGAAAATGGACATTTCGTAATACTGAAAAGATCACTTCATCAGGAAGCTGTAAAACAACAGAAGTGTCTCTGACTTACAACAGCATTTCAAAATACATGAAGTTCTTAGAGACTGCCAGAATTCGAGGGGGAAACAGACAAATTCACAACTGTAGTTCACCAGTTTAAATTCTCTTTCTTGGACAACTGTTAAGGAAATGACTTAGTACTCAACTTTAAAACCCTCCTGTGGGCCAGAAATGGGCAATCTGAAATTTACTAATGATAAAACTTTCAGTTCTTTCAGTCCAACAGAGTATGTAATGAGAGATTTGAAACTCAACTAATTACATGGTAAGTCAGTGTATGACCTTGAAAACCAGTAAACAAAGAGAAATAAGAATTACTCTCTTTCTGAAAGTAGTACTATGCCATGGGTTAACAAAATAGAGCAGATAAGTATGTTTTTATACAAGTATTTATACCAACAAATGAAATCATCATGGCAACTTTGAAATATTATTATGCAAGGTCCAATTGATAAGTCCAAGCATTCAGCATCAATTACTGCCAGCATCATAGAATGATACACAGTAGAAGTGTTTCCTCTGGTGAGAAGATTGCTCTCTGTAGTTCTGCAAATGGATTAAATCTGAAGCATGTCACTGCTCTCTACCAGAGACACAGAGAGCCTAAAAAGGCCTGGAACTACATCATGAGTTTGAAGTCAGCCAACACAAACCATATGATTCTATATTCCTCATGTGCATGGTTCTCCTGATATAAAAGGGAAGAGTACCGAATTTTAAAAACACGGAAGGCTTTTTTAAGAGAGAGAATGACTCCGTATACCTATGGATGGACCTACACACACATGATAAAATTATAACTGAAAATGAGGCTGTCTCAGAGAGTTTAAATAGTGTCTACTTGGGTGAGGAATGGTGAGGCAGGTTTGATTGACAGGGGCTGTGTGGAAGGCCAACAAGGGTGATCCACAGTATTATATTCCTGGTCTTGCTGGTGCTTATAAAGATACATACTTTGTAATTAGATAATTCATATGATTAAGCTGGGTTAGGCGTATGTTTTGTTGTACGCTAAAATAAATAGGGAAAAAAGAAGAAATGGAGGGATTGAGTGAGGGAGACAGGAGAGAGAACAGGAGAGGGGAAGAGAGTGGGAAGAGTGTGGTTAGTGGGCAGGAGAGAGGCAAAGGTTTAAGATATGATAACCGATTGCAATGTATGGACCATAGTTGAATACTGTTTCACACACATTACAAAACACAACAATGGAAAACCGGAACATTCTGAGCATGGAACACAGATGATACCTATGAATTAGTACTTTTAAGTGGGACAATGAGGCCTTAGTTATATTGCGGGGGGGTGGGGGTTGTTTAGAGATACACATAGAAATATTTACAAATGAGAGTATTAGTGAGGTAATATTAACAGATTTGTGCTGATAAGTAAAACCTTACTGTGTGTGGGAAGCTTACTTGTCCACTCACCTGACTGCTTTTTACTTCTGTTCCTATACACATTCTATCCTTCTTCTCATATTCCCCATCCATGGCCTCCCTCTACCTAGAATTTTCTCTCAGAGTAGTTAGATTCTACTGCTGTCATGGATTGTTCCTCTGCTGTTTCCTGTAGACCTTTACCTATTTGTTTTAGTGTCACTTTTTACTGCAACGGGCATTGCTATAGTCTTCTATTCACATGTGTGTACACTAGCTAAAGATAAACTGGTTCATCAAAGTATGCACGGAGTGGGGTTTAACATGATAAAAGACATATATGCCCAGCTCAGTGAAATCTCAAAATGAACACACAATTCTACACGGGCACCATGTAGTGCATATGCACACGTGCAGGCAAACAGTCACACATGCAAAATAAGAATAAATACATCATGTCTTTTAAAGTGTAATGTTAAGTCCCACAAAGTGGCAGAGAGAAACTGCACTGATTTTAATAAGAAGAGCTGATGTCCGGTGAGGCCAGTTGACTCTTGAATGCATCATATCAAATTATTACAATTTTTGCATTTCCTGCCTCGATGAATGGTGGTGCTATTAACCACGGTATGAGCAGTGAAGGACACTGGGGAGTAGTAAGTCATGGACTTGGTAAATATCACATAAAGCTAGAGATGTCTAAGACTTCAGGGTGGCAGGTAGATAGACAAGCAGACAGCAGTTGCTATCTTGTGTAAGGGTCTGAAACTTAACAGCCACGCTGTACATAGAGACATGGATGCATCTAAGTGATCGTTGAAGCATCCAGAAGATGAAACAGAGTGAGAAGGGTCACTGGGAGGTGGTGACACACTCTTTTCATCTCAGCACTTGGGAGGCAGAGGCAGGTGGATCTCTGTGAGTTCCAGGACAGCCTGGTCTACAGAGCAAATTCCAGGAGAGCCAGGGCTGTTACACAGAGAAACCCTGACTCAAAAGAGAGAGAGAGAGAGAGAGAGAGAGAGAGAGAGAGAGAGAGAGAGAGAGAGAGAGAGAGAGGAAGAAAGAGGAGGAGGAGGGAGGGAGGGGGGGAGGGCAGGGGAGGGGAGGAGAGGAGAGGAGGTGGGTAAGTCAGTCTCCAGAGAGTCTATACCTGCAGTGATTAAAGATACAAAATCCAAATAAGGGATTAAGAAAATAATCAGTTCTATGTAGTAATTGCTGAAACAGACTCCTCACGGTGTACAGATGCCTTGGGTCAAGGGAGATGGCTCAGTAGGCAAAGCATTCGCTGTACAGACATGGGGGCTTGAGTTTGGATCCCCAACACCCACATAAATTATCATTTGTGGTATACACATTTGTAACCCCGTGAAGACTGGCAGATTCTGTAGTCTCACAGACTAACTAGTCTTGGTAAAATGGTGAACTGTACATTCAGTGCAAACCTGTTTCAACAAGTAAGGAGAGAGTAGCACACAGCCAAGTGCACCCTCACACATGTACAAGCCTGTGT